AAATAATAATGACAAATTTCGAAAGCATCGAGAAAAGCGAAAGATTGTCTGACGAAGTAAAGGAAATCTGCGTTTTGTGAGAAGCGGCAGAAATAAACCTTGGCCAATCAGAAAGCAGGAAGCGGACGAGCGTGTTGGTGTTCTGTTTTCAGTCTGTACTCGCTTCGCCGTGTTTACCGGGGGCGAGCGAGAGCACGTGTGCGTGTGGTGGAGTCGATGCAGTAGTAGTGGGCCCCCAAGGAATGTGGTAGTAGTGACTGACTGAATAGCGCGGGTGGCCCTGTATCGCACCGGTGAAATTGCCGGGCGCAGACTGAATCGCGAAGTCATCCTGTGTTTTGAATGGCGCCGGTCCCTCTGAAAAGCACCGGTCGTTTCGCCAGGCACATACCGGCGTTATGAAGGGCCCACTGCTGTAGTCAAGCGTCATTTTCCTGTTTTCCAAGAAAGCTTGACAGTACGTCGTCTGCGGAGAATGGGTCGGCGGGCAACGACGAGTGGGCAAAAGTCTTCTCGAAGCACTAGTTGTTACAGGCTGCAATGTGGGTATGCGCACGTCGTCCTCACAGCTCCCAGATGCCGCTTCGTGTCGTCGTGCTTGCCTGCCTTCATCTGCTGTAGTGTATCCGTGACAACCATATTGAGACTCCAATCGTGATAGGGGAAGGCTGCAACCTGTCGGGATTCATGTCCGTCAACAAGGTGAGAAACAGCCAGGATCTGCAGCGGTACGTATGTATTGTTGGTCTAACAGCCACGTCGACGCATCTTTTTTGTCCTTTTCCTGGTCTATGTCTCGTGGCTCCTGCCTTCTGTCTTCGTCGTCCTGTTTCATCTGGGAGAATTTCGTGTTGTTGTTGTCCTCGTCGTCGGTGTTGTTTAGTTTTGTCACGTGAGCTTATGAAAACTGTGGGCTAGTGTTGTATTGGCGGAATCCCTCGTAGGCACGGCCATGGGACCAAAATGCATAGACATGGGCATCGTCAAGACAAGACAGGTATACCACTAGAGTCAATCTCATGGCTTCTCGGAAGTACCAGCCCCTCATGAGTGCATTTGGCTGTCCACATCGCTGATGCTTCACGCTGTTGTTTACTTCGCGCCCCATTGCCTCCCCTGGCGGTCGCTGACGTTGGACATCCTCCTGGCATGTGACGTCTTTGGAAACTGCAGGTATCTGGTAATTTTCACGTGGCTACGGGTGAAGGAGTCATGCGAGAAGGGAGGCATGTCCATTTGTATACCATGGAACAAGCAGTGGGTTTCAACACTAGCCACAGCATCAACCTTCTCTCTTTCGGGGAGCCGTACCCGGGAATGAAGCCGAACCCACTCGACAGCACCTCGAGGATAATCGATGAAGGTGTGGAGGTTAAGGTTTGTAAGGGTCTTTGCGTGGAGAGATGCTTGTAAATGAGGAATTCTTCGTGTGTTCATCTTACACGATATGTTTCCCTGCATGCGTGGCTGTCGATTTGGTACTGTATCAGTCCAACACTGGTCTATGAGAAGAGAAGAGCGTGATCACAGCGTTCTGCTCGCAAGAACGTTGAACAGTAGAGGTCCCTGATTAATGCCGGTTGAATAGTGCCGGTTGCCGGTATCGTGCCGCTCGATTCTCGGCGCACAGAACCCGCCCTGAATAGTGCCGGTCTGGCACTATTCAGGGCTGCCCAACACAGTGCCGGTTCGGGCCCCACTGAACCCCACAATAGTGCCGGTTCAAGCACGCACGCACACGTAACACACAAGAGACACACACAACAGAGCAGACACAGAGGAGAGGGTACACGTGCTGCTGCAGACCCGAACAGCTCTACGCAGCGGCGCACCATGCCATATGCGGAAGGTGACCTGTGCCGCATACCGGACAGAACGCCACAAGTCCCTAATGGCCACATCTGCCGGAGACGATGCGGCGGGCGGCTCCATGGCGAATGTGGAAGCATGTTTGACGATAGCGAGCTGAACCGCATCTGCAGTACGTGCGTAGCCAACACTGGCAAACGCAAAGCGAGAGCAGCAGAGGGTGCTGGGAAGGGGCAATCTAAACGCCCGAAAGCACAGGGGGGGAGTAAGAACGAAGCTCGTAAGCGGCTGGACGTACACCAGAAGGTCGAGATCCTCAAGCTGGTGGATGCGAAGCTCTCTCAAGGAGAGATAGCAGACCGCTTCGGGTGCTCGGAACGGTTGGTCCGCAAAGTGAAGGCCGAGCGGGAGAAGGTGGAGAAAGAGGCTGCTGCAGCAGGCAGCGGCAGCAAGAAAAACATCCGCAAAGGAGATTATCCCAAGGTGCGCTAAACTGGTGTGAATCTTCTGTTGTTGCTGCACTTGTTTGTTTGTTTTTTCAGAATACTTTTTTCGAGACTCATTTTTGTTCGAGGCCTTCTCCTTTTTTCGAGGTCAATTTTTTGTGAATCTGTTCAAGCTCTTCTCTTCTCCTCCCTTGCACGCGACCCTTTTTTTCTGTTTTTTTGTGCTCCTGCGACAGAGCTGTCAAAAAAAAATCATCCGCACGCACGACTGTGCATGCCAGTATACATACATAACATGCAGCGTACACACTTGTCGCTTTTTCCTACGTATTAAACAAAGTATTTTCCTTCAAAGTGTACTTGAAACAAACAAATGGGAACAAAACTCGAAGAAACAAAGCAATTAGCAGCTTAACACTATGAACTACGAGGTCCAGCCTGAATGCGCCGCACAATGTTGGATGCACATAAACATAATATTCGAATCTAATCATTGGATTATCTCTACCCTCTTGAAACTTGTGATACTCTTTGTTTGACGGCAGGTGGATGCCATTGCTCTTGATCTACTCGAGAAAGCCCGGAAAGCCAAGATGTCTGTCACACGCGACGTCATTCGAAGCTTCGGCCGCTCCGCCAAGGCAACCCTGCTAGCGGAGCCCACAACTCCTGCAGCAGTCAGGGTGAGACTCCAGGAATTCAAGGCCGACAAGTGGGCCAGGAACTTCGTGAAGCGCAACAACATTCCGAGCACGAGACTTCATGGCGAGGCTAGCAGCGTCAGCCGCGAGGCCATCGAGGACGGCATGCAGGAAATCAGGGCCGTCTGCGCGAAGTACCCAGCTAGGCTCATCTTCAACGTCGACGAGACAGGCATCCAGTGGAAGCTTATGCCTAGGCGCACGTACCTTTCCACCTCGGAGAATCGGAAGCCGGCGCGGGGCTCAAAGCGCATGTACTTCAAGGATCGCTTGTCTTCCATCATGTGCTGCAATGCAGATGGTACTGCAAAGGTTGACATGGCCATCATCGGGAAGGCAAAGGAACCCCGTTGCCTGACGGGCGTGACTTGCCCTCTCAAGTACTTATCGCAAGCTAACGCGTGGTCTGATACCGCTACGTTCCTCAAGTGGTGGCGTGAGATCTCCCTCCCGTTCGTTCGGCGCTTCACCAACGAACCTGTGCTGCTGCTGATGGACGGCTGCTCGTCTCACGCTGATGTAGCGGATGAACGCGGGCAAGTTACCGTCAAGTTTTACCCTCCAAACTGCACCAGCGTACACCAGCCCATGGACCAGGGGATCATCGCCAAGAGCAAGGTCATCTACAGGAAAGAGCTGCTCGATGTCAAGACATCAACCATGTGGGTGGCTGAGACCCTTCGTGCCCAGGCCAAAGCCCGTAAGATGAAGAGCGGGACAGTGGGGCTGGCACAAGGGCACCAACCTCACATGCGTGACGCCGCCGAACTTCTCCAGAAAGCCTGGGCCAGCATCACCGCCCGGCACATCGCCAGGTCAGGTTTGAACATGTGCTGTCGCTGTGTAAATTTTGGAATCATGCAGTGTGCACAAGCTTGGTGGTACGTAACGAAGTTGCACGGATAGATGTTTACATTTTCGACTAGGTATTCCAGCACCCCTTGTTGTTGCTTCGCTACAAAAGCATGCTTTCTCGCTTGCCGATGATTTGTTGTCAAATGCTGGTCTCGTCTAACATCAATTGGTCAACTCACAATGGAACCAGGTACTTTGTCAAAGCCGACACGCTTCCGGCGGAGATGGCAGCTGAGCTGACGGAGCAACACGGGAAGGCCCGAGACCGGATCGCCGAGCCTGAGATGAAGGCTCTCACGAGGAGTCTCAACACATTTGAGCACGAGCGTGCTAGAGGCGCAGCAGCAGGGATCCAGCATTCAAGACGAGGAGCTGTGTGAGCTGTTGGCGGAACTTAACATTGAACCCGGAAAGGCTGCCGTGGGGGACGCGGTGAACACACTTCAGGCTTGGGCTACTATTGAGGACGACGATGAAGTGGTACCTTTTCGGCAGGACGCGGTGGACGACATGACGGCACAGCTAGCTGGGTCGCACGTGTGTCCCGGATCAGAGGAGGAGGACGAAGAAGAGGACGACGAAGAGGAGGGGGGTAGCGACGATGAAAACGCGGGCCGCGGGCGGCGTGCCCCACCGGGTTACGCTGAACTGTCGTCTCACTTCGGGTGCCTAGAGGCGGCAGCGGAGGAGAGTGGCAACGGAGACGCCGTGTACCACCTGTCGAAAGCGAGGATGGCGATGATCGCAGCGCATACCGCAAAGCGGGCTCGCCAGGCAGACATGCGGGCATTTATCGCGACGTAGTGAGGGTGGGGGTTACAGCTACAGCGGCTGTTGATTTCTTGCATGTCCCGTTCTTGCGGTCGTGTTTTTTTTTGTTGTTGTTCTGGCTACATCGAAGGAGGGCGAGGAGGAGACAGCTTCCTCCTTCACCAATAGGTTGTGCCAGCAGGAGCTTCGCAAAAGTGTTACCGCCAAAAATCTATGGGCTTCATGATAAGCGGTTTGCTTTCGCTGTCGAGAAGTGATGTTGAGGTTGCGCGAAATGGTTTGATCAGTCTAAGGCCAGTGCCACGGCATTCTTACCAACAAAATATTGGACATCTAAGAGGTGCATCCTTTGCGATATTCATGTGAAGGGTTGAAGACAGGTTGTGCGAGTGTGCAGTACGTGCGCTGAGGTAGGTACAGCAACAAGGTGCAGCATGTGTGTCCCGTCCAGTTAACTTATTAAGCAATATATGTGTGTTCGACAGGGCAGGAACCACCCCTTTCATGGCACAGCAGTCTGCCCGCGACGCCCATGCCATGATCTCACCATGTACGTTTCATGTGGTACTCTGTTGGCACCGCAAAGCAAAGCGCTGTACTCTGAAATCATCGAGTGCCTGACAAGTGCCAGGCCGACACTGTTGAGGGATTTTCAGACCCTGAATAGTGCCCCTTTGGCACTATTCAGGCATTCTGAAGAATAGTGCCGGTGACCGGTATAGTGCTGGTGAAATTTTTGCGCACACCCCGGCACTAAACAGGGACCTCTACTGTAGATGTGCGCCAGCCTATCATCGGTGCTCATGGTCATCGGACCTACTTATTCGTGCTTGTTCCCCTGCTCGGTTGATATATGGTTTAATGTCGCCGTTGGCATGACTGAAAAGCTTACCTGCCAATTAATTTAATTCCTTTGTTTTGATCGTTGCTTCGATTGCTCCATTGGACGATTTTAGTACCCCTTCGACGAAGTACCTTTGTTTCTAGAGCGTGTTGGCCATATTTCTCGAACCTACAAGTAACCAACGTTCGAGGTGCCCCCTTTTTGATGCCACCACTATCTGCGCTGCGGATGTCACGGCCGCCATTCACGCCTACACGAAAGTAGCTGGCACTGCTGTACTCTGTCCACATGCCAACGTTGGCTGGTATGCCCCACTTGCCTCGCCCTCATGCACAGACGTAGGCACCGGTGCTTTCCAGTACTACATCAAGCTGGTGCCCACGGTACACTCGCTCAATCCGCAGTCGGAAACGAGTAGAAGTCCGTTGCCGAAGGGTAAGCGGGAGGAGGCTGAGCAGCAGCAGCACTCGAGCCTCACCAGCCAGTTCACGTACACGTACAAGTTTCGGTCCCTGAAGGGCTTGACGGAGTACCATGCGGATCATGAAGAGGGAGAGGAGCAGGCCAAGGAAGCGGAGAAGGGATCGACGAAAGACGGCGGGGTTAACTCCTTTGCGAACTCGGTGCTGTTGCCAGGTGTGTGCTGAAGCGGACCACCCTCTTACCCTTTTGTCTTCATTGTCGTTCGGTTCTACCCGTACAGTAGTGGGTAGCCTGTGACAACCGAGGTGATAGGGCGGTCGTATGACGCAACGTCCTCCGGTGAATCCGCAAGTTGAACCCAAACGCTGTAGTGGGCTGCCTGTGCTCGTGTCTAGACGTAACGCGACATTCGTCTACACCTCACGTCTTCGAAGAATGTCTTTTCTGCACTTGTTGTTGGTTTCGCTTTGTTCCGCGCGGCTCGATGTCAGTATTTACCTTGGATGATACCATGATATAGCGAATAGCCCTCGCCCGATGCACCAGCTGGCCTGCCCGGCTTGTGGTTGACAAGCCATGACATTGCATGAGCTTTGGCTCTGCCTGTAGAGAGTTCTGCTTCATCATCGACTGCATGTGCGGCTCAAATGGATCCACAGACGATAGGCTAGAGCCCTTGGATAGCTTTCGAAAACATGTTAATCACCCCCCCCCCC